TGCTAGTTAATTGTTTGAAACAAGTTTTCAGTTATGGTCAAGACTATAAAGTGAAACACTTAATTTTTGTTGTTGTTGTTGAAAGTAGTTTTGAAACTGTGAATGTACGAAATACGGTATAGTTGTGCTGCGTGGCCACTTAGCATGTGTTCCTGAGTAAAACCGCGTCTCGCATCGTGCTGTTCTCTCTGGTATGGCAAGGTTTACTTGTACTTTGTGATGTGGTCTTTTTCGTTTGTTTTTGAGGGTTAATAGGAAATTACGCTCTGAAGCTGTCAAAGCTGGAAGGAACTACAGCTGTACAGTGATTTAGCTTTTAGGTTGATAGTTTTGTTTACATACTCTTCTTCCTCAGGCTATTCTTTAGCGATATCTGAAGAGATTAAATCCTTAGTGATATCTGAAAAGATTAAAAAGAGCCTCCTCAAAGACCATTAATGCTGGAAAAACTTCCAGAGTTGACGTGATTTTGTTCTTGCAGTTTGTATCCTTACTAATCCCTTCTTGCATCATTATTGTTTTGGTAATGTTTGCGTGAAACTGATTTTGTGTTACTGTAGATGCGTCTTTCCAATGTGTGTAATACAGTAGTGTCCTTAGTTAAGCTCCGATTCAGACTAAATTCTGAAAGAGTATTTAGCTATTACTTTATATGCTCTCAGACATTAAAATTGCCAGAAATATTCCAAATACATTGAAGCTTGTTATGCTCTTGAATTTATGAGAACTGAAATGAATCATACTGTTAATTGCATTAAATAGTGTGTATTTTTGGCACTTCAATTGAGGAAGAGGCAAATAATTAAGAAAACTGGTCTTATTATCCAGGAATTCCCACTCCTGATTTTTCAATTTATTCAGTTATGCCAGAAATCAACCAGCAATTTAAAAAAAAAAAATCTCTCTCTTATGTGCATACAGTACAAATTGTTCTGGGAGACAGCTCACGTTCCAGAAGTCATCTCTCTTGAGGAGTTGACCAATAATGTAGCTAGCTGATCTGATAATAATTCAATAAATACAGACTTACCTCTGCTGCAAGGCTCTGTTCTGATGCTTCTTTAAGCAAGGTGCGTGATACGTGTTCTACTACCAACACCCGTTTATTCCGATCATACTCTTTCTTCAGGTAATTTGGCGCACTTTATTTTTCCTTTTCAGCATCTGCTGCTATTTTTATTGCATCCCCCGTTTGTTTTCAATATGACAGGCAGCATCATGTCCTAGTAATCATGCTGGTATACTGATCTTCAGTTTTTCTTCCGTGCCTTTAGAAAAGGCAGGTTTGCTGGAAAGAGAAGTTATATCAATGTAGCATTAAGGAGATGCATTTGAATTGTAAAACTGGGAAACTAATATGCAAAACCAGTATGGTTAATGTCATTGTGTGACCAACATGTGCTGAAGTAGGTCATGTCACTGACACAGACAGTACTGTGGCACTTCCAAGTTCTTCATCCTCTCCATCCCTGAGCACTGCTAATAATAAGAATATCCCATATGTGCAATATTATTACTTAAAGGTGACATGGATTTCTTCCTTTCCTCCTGATTTTCTGGCTTTGAGAATTTCCGTGCATATCTTCTATTTCATGCAGCTGTATTTGCATTAGGCTTTCCTTTTCCTTCAAGGTTTTTCAAGTTATCAGTGCTTGTTTTTACAATATTTGTAATCAAACCTATGAATTAGCAGATTGTTTGTTCTCTTAAGAAGATTGAAATGAGTCATTTGGTGGCTTATGAAAGGATTAGTTTTATTATTTTGAATATACATGCAAAATGATTCGGTACCATTATGGCTAAATGGAATCAGACGTGGTTCTCTAATCTGTTGTAGTGAAGTCCGTCGGGACTGTGGATTGGCTGTGGATGTAATGCTCATTTTGCCTTTCACTTGTAAACTGGAGGAGCGCTGTATGACTTGATCTGGCCATGCTTGTGTTGCACAGCCGCTGTTCAGCCCTGAATTTGGTTCTGAGCCAGAAGTGCATTCATTCTAAACACTGGGGGTGTGGGTGATGGTGGAGTGTGAGTATGTGGACGAGGTGACAGTACCACCAGAGGCCGTTCTCCGGACTGTTGCACTAGCCAGTTTTGGAGGATCGGTACTGTACATATTGCTGCTGATTGGACAGAGCCTCGAAGTGTAACATCACTGCTAGTGGTTTAGTGATAAGAATTAAGACATTCTATATGCAAATGTATCTACTTAACATCAGGTCACGGGCTGCCCGAAGACTCCTCTGAACTTACTCTGCCTGATCCTTCCGTGAGGGCTGCCTGGTAGTTCTTAAATCTGACAGCAAAAAGCAGCACTTAGCAAATGCGTGTGGCAGGCACACTTACTACTCTTCAGGGCAATTGCATGGGATTTCAGGGAAGAGTTTGGCAAATACGGGTTGCATTGGAAAGTTTTGTAGAAGTAGGGAGGAGAGCCTTTGTTGCAAACAAGCCATAAATAAATAAATACTGAGGTTGATATCCTGTTGTAATACCTCCTGTGTGGAAGCTGCAGTATACTGGAATTCTATCAGGAAGAAAATGAGTAGAGACAGCAACTGTAATAGTTGCATGAGTATTTGGGCTTTATGTTCTGATTTGGACGTGCTGCCTTATTATTGCAAAGTGAGCCTCAAAAATATGAGCAACATGTATACCAATACACCATTAACTTCCTGAATTTTCAAAGACTGTTAAAATGTGTGAAACTTTTTTTTTTTTTTTGCACAGGACCCCATGGATTTTTAACTCTGCTTGCTTAAATAGTTAATGTTCCACTATGGTTCCAGTGTTTGTAATGGAAAGTACCATTTGTATAAATTATGGAGCTGTTATTTTGCTATAACCAGACTTCTGGCACTTTATTTTGCCTCTCTGGCCTGCTACAACTTGCCTGCAAATTAAATTTTATTCTATAACTTTTCTGTGTAGGGTAGAGTTGATTGGGTTATGAAACATATGACTTTTACTGTTCCGTGGAACTGGGCAGCAAGTGAACAGGAAGCCAGAGCTGGAATTTGGTTTGGCAGTGTGAACTGGGCTACCTGGAAAACAGCGCAGCAGCCAAAGAGCCAAAAAGAGAGAGTCTTCTCAATAGGATTGCAAGTGTTGTTTTCTTCCAGCTTGCCTGCTCACCGGTTTCTTCCCACACCACTACCTACCCTCTGGGAAATAGGGAGAGAGGTTCTTTGCCAGGATCCTTAGGCCATGCAACAAAAAGCTTAATAGAAATACCCTTTTACCAGCGACTGTATCTGACAGTGACCCATGTATATTTGTGTATGTTTTAAGCGTGACTGAGATATCTGCAGTTCTGTGTTGAAAGTTAATTTATTCTCCAGGAGCTGAGTCAAAGGTATTTGTTACAGAGGTCAGCCACACTGTAACACTGTGGGACCCTGCTTATCTATTCCCATAGGCCGTTAGGGTAGAGGTTAAGGACTCTAAAGAAGTAAAATAACAAAAATACATTTCATTGATAAGGGATCTCCTATGAAAGGAGTGTATGCTTCTCCACAAAGTTTTGAGAATGGTTTTGCACTTAAGCAGAAGTTTATTGCAGGCTGAGATGAGTGGAAGCCTGTCTGCTAGTACAGTTTCCTGGCTCAACCTGGTACCGCTGACAGCTCAAGAGGAGCCTGGGAAGACGTTTTCTGAGTGCAAGACAGGCTGCGTAATGAAGAGGGAGGAAGGATGGGCTGGAATAAAGTTACCCAGTTGCTGTTATCTTGAGCCTGTGACTGAGCTGCACAACTCATTCCTCCCTCAGGGGACACAGGTGCGCAGAGCTATTTTTCTTTAATCACTCACATAAATTAAATTTATTCCTGTACATTAAAATAATTAAATAAAGCTACGCCCTGTGTCTTTTAGTGCCAGATAATATCTTTGAACCTTTGGCTCACCATTTTGCTATCAGCTGCAAGGTATTTTCCAGGGTGTGCTTAACCAATTTCACCATTGTCCTGAAAAGTGTTCTAGGCAGAGAAATCCCCTGATAGCAATCAATGTTCATACATGGTTTTAATCACTGTATCCACCGGGAATAATCATTTCCGGGCCTCTCTTGAAGTCCACCTGCCCCACACTAAGATGAAAGGGGCTTCCATGCTGTGTATCAAGTGGCGCAGGCTTCATGCTTACCAGGATATTAAGCACAAATTAAAATGGACTGAAGAATATTGATGTGGATCTGACGTTGGCCAGTTGCTGGTGAGAGTATGATGCTGCCAAGTCTGGAGCAGATTGTCAAGAAGGAAGAACAGCCTTTGCCTTTCCTATATCCCCCAAGGGGTTTCTCCTCTTTTTAGGACACGACACTACTTGCAAAGTTGCAGTAGCGTACGTGTTTAGGATGGAGGTGTGTGCTTTGGGAACAGGGTTTGTGTGCTTTCCAGGTTAGGAATGATTTTCCTGGGTTCGTTGTGACTTGCCTTCTGATTGTTGAACTTGTAGGTTTGGAAAGTCTACTGCTTGGTAGCTGGCGCATCACCCCAGACTCAGCTCTTTGTTGCTCCAACTTGGTTTCTAGCCAAAAACATCAAACGGGCTCAGTGGCAAATCTGTGCTTCTTCCTCCCTGGCAAATACTTGATTTGTATGGAGTCTGTCCCCTGTAGAAGCAGCAAAATGGTCTGTGTTGTACCAAACTATCTTTACTTAGGAATCTTACAAGTGAGTGGCATTCTGTGGTTGGGTATGGTAGATCTACCACTTCTGAGATTTCCTTATGTTTGGTTTAGGCAGTTATTTGAGCCTGCCTGTTGAGCAGTATAAATCTCTCTTGGCATTGAGACCTGTTCCCCACCTGCCACTCCAAGAACATTCACTGATGTTTTCATGGAAACAGATGTACTTTTATTTGCACCTTTGGGGGGGGGCGGGGGGAAATCATAGAACAGCCTTAGAGCTACTTGGCTTAGGTAAGGAGGGAAGGGCAGGGAACAACTAAAGCTCTGCAACAGCCTCGTGAATACAGTATTGACAATTTGTATAGGAAAGATGGCTGTGACTCAGAACAGAGATCAGGAGCTCCTCTTGAGTAAGCATTTTACAAGGGCCTGTAGTGACAGGACAAGGGGTAATGGGTTTAAATTGAAAGTGGGGGGAGTTAGATTGGACATCAGGAAGAAGTTCTTCATGGAGAGGGTGGTGAGGCACTGGAACAGGTTGCCCAGAGAAGCTGTGGATGCCCCATCCCTGGCTGTCTTCAAGGCCAGGCTGGATGAGGCTTTGAGCAACCTGGTCTAGTGGAAGGTGTCCCTGCCCATGGCAGGGGGGTTGGGAATAGATGTTCTGTAGGGGCCCTTCCAACCCAAACCATTCTGTGATTCTATGGTTTTTCCAGCACGGCAGTCTCACAAATCCTTCTCCTCTTCCTTTGCTTTCAGAATTTCAGGGGATTTTAAAAAAAAAGGATCACTGTTCACAACTCTGTAACTCTGTTATTCTAATTTCTGTCTCTTACTGTCTTTTATTTGCAGCTCAAAGACATGTCCTCACGTACATGGAGGATGCAGTGAGCCAGCTGCTGGAGAACAGAGAAGATATTAGTCAGTATGGCATTGCCAGGTTCTTCACTGAATAGTAAGTACATCAGGACGCTGCCAATAGGGCCAGCCTGAAGGGGGGCTTTTGGAAACAGGCAGGGTACATGGAGAATGGAGCTGAACACATGCTGATTATGTTGTGAATGCTGGATTTCACTGGGTTAGCCAAGGGCTGCCTGAGCATGTTTCAGAAATGTGCCTGGGTTTTGTACAGTTCAGTACCTCTTCTATTGCCAACACTCACATGGAGCAGTCACTTTATGGAACAGAGCTTTTAAAAGTATACAGAAAACCAAATTCTGCTTGCTTTAATCAGTGCTGTTGGTATCAAAAGCGGAGACTGCTGCTGTTTTCAGCAGCACTCATTCTTCCTTTTTCTGAGTAAGAATCTGAACTGTTTATTCTCCTTTTGTGATTCTTGTCCTGTTGAATGCTTTAATGGAATGCCTCTTCCTTCCTTATAACCTGCATAGGTCCTTCAACATAATAATTAGCACAGATAATCTCATGTTACTAATTTGGAAAGATTTTTTGAGGGGGGAAAAGCTGTGTGTTTGTCTTCAGTTTGGTTGATGTTGACTCATCCAGTTGCTGTATGTTTTGCCAACTTGATGATGTCTTGCACAATGTCTAAAACTCTTGCAGGCAGCTTCATTAAAATCTGTTGGTAATGATAGTACTTGCAGTAGTTATGTTTCTGTCTTTGATGCCCATTTGAAATTTTTTTCTTGCTTGCTTCCTTTACTGTTACCTGTTTCCAAGGCAAATCAGTGTGCAGAGCGTTTCACAATCTCCATACTACAGCGGTGCAAGAGAACCTCAAAGCATAGGAGAAGCTTGCTTTCTCAGTTGACCACACTTCTTTTTTTTTTTTTGTGGTTTTGTTTTTGTTTTGTTCTGCACATCAGTCTCCATCTAACCTCCAAATAAGGTCTAACTTGCCAGTTTGACTGATTGAACAACCTGCATTATATTTTCTTGCCCCATGAACATTTTCAACTTTTAAACAACTGAGATTCTCGCTGGTAAATGAGTAACAAAGAGAAATACTGCAGCAAGTCTGAGGGGAAATTCCTAAACCTTTTTGTTTAGTTGGTTGGTTTGGGTTTTTTTGAGATAGCGTAACAAGTAGTTCAAGACTAGTATGGTTTTGACCATCTAGGCAGATGAGGTAAGATACAGGCCATCTTGCTACATCTGTTTATATAACAGATCTTTTGAGTAGATGGCATTGTAGCAAGAAAATACGGTTTCTTGGTAGTACTTCTTATCTCTTGCTCTCAGCAAGGTATTTCCAACTTTCACTTGGCGTGAATCACCCGTGTTGCAAAATCTGGAAGATCCATACAAAACAGTATAAAGGCAGTTTTACTAGAATAATCAAAGAGCTTATCAAGGCTGCTTAGTTTTACTGTTAACCTTTCTCTGTAGCTTAGTGTAACGAGAATGAATATGGACTTTTAAAAGACCTCAAATCTATTTTAGGAGCAAATAATACTTGGTACTACATGGATTTTATAAGGAGATTTATAAACCACAACAAAATATATCAATAACAATATCAAGTAGCTTAAACTCTCAAAATTTATTCCCTCTTTGTAGACTAGCAAAGTTAAAAAAATCCATAGTATCAGAAATGAAACTCTTACTGTACAGACCGATGAACAGTGTACTTCCATGTTCTGAGCGAGTTGCAGTCATCACTAGTAAGTGCGGGTTGCGGAGAATTAATCACTGAGAGCAGGTATTGGGGTCACATGAAGGTACAATCTGCGCACTTGATGTGAGTGGGAATCGTGATACTCCATCTGATATGGGTGACTTTCCACAGGAAGTTATGATGAGATTAGTCAGCTGAACAGAGAACAGTCAGTAAACAAGGGCTTAAGAAAGATAAAGAGCGTGACTACAATGACCTCCCCCCGTCAACAGGATTTCTTTACCAGGGTTGAAGACAAGGTGGCTCTGAAATACCCCAGAGAAATAGTCATGCAGGTATCTCTCCAGATTGGATCGGGTTTGCACCTGCTTCATGCTGACACCTCAGGGCCTTTTCTAAACTTCTGATCATATGTACTTAAAAAATTAATGGGTGAGCAAAGAGGTCTGCCACTCTTTTTGGAACTGCTCACATTGCTTCTCTATAGCATTTCTTCATCAGGACATAACCGCCTTCTTTTCTCTTCCTATTCTGCTTCTACCTTTAAAAGAATAAATAGTAATTCAAGATTATTGTAACAAACAAAGCTGTCACCACAGAGCACAACCCTGTGATTGACTTAGGTGCTGCAGATATTTTTCCCATTTATTTTCAAAGTAAAATTTGAATTTCTACAATGGCTTTTTATTCACACTGAGTGTTCTGTGGAGCTTCCAATTTCTTGAAAGATAAGAAAAGCCGCATGCTTGTTTTTCCTGTGAGTAATATAGAACTAGTCACTCTCTTTTATGTTGTGTCTGGAGTTTAGCAGATCATGCTGTGTCCCTGTACCAAAGGACGAACAGGCTTAGTAATTTTGAGAGCTGTGAAAGTCTTCAGGTTTGAAATGTGGGATTCTTTATTTAAAGTGGAGAATAAATGATTGGCAGTGTGGGTGTAGGTGGACTCAGAATACAAAGTTTCCTATTATGAAAGTGTTGTGTGTTCTGGCTTCCAGGGCTTAGTGGTGAGTCCTCACTGCCCCACAGATTTCTGTTCATCCACGCAACTGTCAACATTTGTTCAGGCTGTGCTTTGGAGTCTACACTGGCTTTGTATTGCTCTGCCAAGCAGATAAGCCTGATCTTGATATTTATCTTTAATCTCAGTATCTTCGAACTCAAAGATAACTTGTGAGATTCCGGAAGGTTTGTGTGGACTCTCCCAGTGTTTTCCTTGTCCCAGGTTATTCTAAGTGAGAGATTTGCATGTGCATATTTTCAAATATGCTGCAATGATTTGTAGTGCGATTTCCGTTTAATTACCATGTAGTGACAGGACAAGGAGTAACAAGTTTAAATTGAAAGAAGGTAGATTAAGATTGGATATCAGAGAAAATTCTTCATGGAGAAGGTGGTAAGGCACTGGAACAGGCTGCCCAGAGAAGCTGTGGATGCCCCATCCCTGGAAGGGTTCAAGGCCAGGCTGGATGAGGCTTTGAGCAACCTGGTCTAGTGGAAGGTGTCCCTTCCCATGGCAGGGGGTTGGAACTAGATGGTCTTTAAGGTCCCTTCCAACCCAAACCGTTCTGTGATTCTATGATTTGAGATGAAGGGACTTTGTATTAGGGTGTCCAGTTTTTCACATTGTGCTTTCCCTATTTATGCTCACTTAAAAAAAAAAAGAATAGTCACCTGCCTGGGTCTACCTGCTAGCTCTTAAACCCTGGGCTTGTTCTCTAATTTTAAGTGTGTAGGGGATAAAATGATGACTTTTGTAAATTTTCAGAATAATGAAGTTAGTGTGTCAAGGTTGGGTGTTAGATATTCTACAAACTCTTCTCAGAGAGCACTCTTTTCAGTACAATAGAGTGGTGTTCCGTGAACCTCTCTTGCTGGATTCACCACTAAAGAGAAATCATGGCCTTTCCATCATGTACTGCAATTCCCCACCTCACCGTGAGTCACTTCAAATCTTTTTGCCAGCTACGACAACTATTTTTATGGGTAATTAAGGAAATTTTGTTGGGGTTTAGCTTACCTGAGTGAAATCAAAGCTGAAAACTATGTGGTCATGTAGCTCTGTATGGATAAAGCAGTGTTTTGCTTGCAATGATTGTTCCTAGTAAATGAAATTTGGTATGTATTCCATAGCTATTCACAGCCTAGTACTGGGATTGCTGACTGCAGAGGGCTGACCTTCATCTCTACAGTTCTTCTTCCAGAATATTTTTAGTCCTCAAGGATATTTTTTTCTCCCACTTTTTTCCATTGTTCGTTTGTCCCAGTCATGTGGACATCTGCTTTCAATCTTGGGAGTTCCTTGAGGCTCCCCTCATCTGATTCGCTCCTGACACTTATAGGACTAGGGATCAATCACCCTTCTGCCAATTAATCCACATCTTTTTGCTAAATGAGTAAGATTATGCCTCTCTCAGGAGTAGTCTTGATTTTATAGATATGCTGAAATGCTACTGGTATTTGTTCATTACAAACCCAAGAAATCTCTGCTCTGCTTTTGAATCTCCATGAAATACAGACTCTTGAAAGCTCTCTGTGTAATTACACACTAATGCTACTTTTCTTCTTCCAGCCTAACTTCTGTGCCAACATATCTTAAAGGGACATGTTCTTCCTATACATTATTTATCATCCTGTTTTCTTGATCCTTCCTGTACTGAAGAAAAACAGGGCCCCCATGCTAATGCATTTGATCACGCAGGGGGAATGTCATAGTATCCCACTTTATAGTTTTTGGGATCTTAAAGGGAGTCTGTGTGGCTTTTTTTATTTTGGCTGGAAGAAGCAGCAAAAAAAACCCCAAAATTGACCAAGAGCCTTCGTACTAGTAATTTTTACTTTTCTTTTGAGCTAACTCTTTGTTAGAAGAGTTTGTTTGAGTCTCTTAGTTTGAGAAACCACACAAGTGAACTGGATACACAAGAAAAGGCAATTTTTTGTCTATGTTCTTCTCCCAAAGCACTCTTTGTTTTCTTTTTTTTCTGGTGAAATGTCTTCCTGACCACCTATCAGCTGGAGCATGACTGAGAAAGACATCTTGCTTTTAGGTTGCAGACTCAGCACTACTTCCACTGGGCTCTGCAAACTGATGTCTGAGATCCCCTTTTTCTGTAAAGGGTATTTCTGCTGGCTCTAACTTGAAGTGCCCTTGCTGGATCTTGTGTGACAGTTTGATAGTATTTATCTGAGGAGGTGTCTGTGATGTCTGTCTGGGGGGATTGGAGGTCGGATGCTGCTTCTGTTGTGTGCCTGGCAATTCAAAATACCAGGTCTGCGCTGTGTAGTGCCCTTTTTTACACAAAAGAACATTTGCTTTATTCAGAGTAACAGGACTGACAGTGCTATATAGTTCAAGATTCTTGGATGGGAAGATGTTAT